TTTTAACTTATCATCTTATACTATAACACTTTTAACCTCTCACTTATACGAGTTAAAGAAAATAACCTTTATTTAAGGTCAAATTATAATATTCTATTGTTAGTTCTTTTAATTGACTGTTAATTCTGTTAGTTGACTGTTAACGTTCTGTTAGCATTCCATTAATGGAACTAACAAATAAAATTAAATTTAAATTCATATTTTTTATTTGGAATGTTAACAGATACTAATAGTCAATTAATAGAACAAACAGAACATTATAATATGATGTTAAGTAAGAGTTATATTTTTCAATTTATATAGGTAATAGATTAAAAGTGTCATAATATAAGATGATGGGTTAAAATCTATAAATTTATTAAAATAAAAAATTAAATATATTATAATATAAAATGAGGTGTTAAAACTTATAAATTTATTAAAATAAAATGCTAAAATAGGTTTTTCCAAAGCAAATCGTACTAATTTTTATTGCACATATTATTAGGATAATAAAGCACAAACCGAAATTACAGTTTTAGACAACGTTTTTAATGGATTGACACCATCCATTTTGGTCATCCTAGTATCTTGACCAGAGCATCACCCCTCCATACTTGAAAGCTCCTTTGATGGCAGGAAGGACCTCTGACTTGAGATCGTTCACCGGGATGAAACCACTTCCGGACGCAGCAGGGGCTGCAGGAAGTCCCAAGAAAATTTCAGTTACCGGAATATCTTTAGTCCATTGTTTCCAGGCATCCACTAAATTTGCAGTGTTTCCGGACGCGTATTGGCATGGAGAGATGTTGTAGAATTGAACCTGGACGTACGTAGTCAAAAAGACCAGTTTTCAGTGCATCTCCTATCCAGGCGTCAGGGAAAGAGCACTGAGGCGTTGCCGTCAAGTACACTTTCTTTCCCTGTTTACCGTACCGGAAAGGTAGCCGGCGAGCTCATCCCAATGCTGGTTCGTCTCGCCTTCTATGTCGAAGTCGATTCCGTCAAGGATGGCGTCGCCTAGTGGACAGGAACTTGATTTTCCTCCTAGGAAGTTGTTCCAGAGATACTTAGCGACCTGCGTGGCGTCCTCTGCTGAGGCAAGTTAGTAGCTCCCGACGCTTCCTCCTATGGAAAGTATGACCATGATTCCTTTCGCTTGACATGATTTAATGTCGGAGCTTAATCCGGTACTGCCGCCGATGGAGGGGTCGCAGTGGCCGGTGAGGTTAATCGTGGGTTACCAAAGGTTTAGAGAAAAGCTATGTTGACAAAATTGTAGTTGCCAGTGTCACAAGTCTCTACCAATGTACCATCGTTCCCGTTCTGCCCCCAGTAGATGGCAATCCCACCGGCGTCTGCTCCGGCAACCAATACAAGGACAATTAAGAAGGAGAAAGCTAACAATACTACTGATTTTAATGCCATCCTGAATCCTGTAAGCCTAGCTAGTGTGTTCTTGGTGATTTTTCTTGCATGGGGGTTCATAGAGAAGCAGAGGTTTTATAGCAGAAGGTTGGCCCCATGATGATGGCGATGTCATCTGATTTTACAGAGGGGGAGTACGTGGCTTCTAGGACGGTTTGTTCGAAAACAAAACGAATTCCCACGCATGTAAATGTCTGATAATCACACACAACATGATTATTCTGAAGTTTTGTTTTCTATTGTTTTGTTCGTCCCTGTTGTATCCTTCCCTTGAGTTGAGTTGGTTGTTCATGGCGGTAATCATCTGATTCATCTCTGATTTGAATCATATATTTGGGGAAACGAAAGCACCAGAAATTTTGGTCTTTAGCCCTGGTTGCTGATTCCGAACGCAAAATTGTAGGTGCAAGGTAGTTGACCTTGTTTTATCTATTACACTGAATAATTAAGTTCAAAATAGAAATCTAGACTTCCATTATCTTGTTTTTGACAGCTATCTTGTTATTCATAGAACCTTTATAGAATCTCCTGTTAGTATCTCAAAATTCAATATGAACCCATAGGTACTAGGATTTTTTTTCATTTTTGGTGAAAATAGGTACTACTAGGATATAATGCTTGGATTAGTAATCACAGTAGCTGAAATTCACCAGTACGGGAGAAAAGATCCCAGCTGCTTCACCAAAATAAGGCAAAAACCAACATTTAACCCCTTACCTTACAAAGTTGATAAGTTTTAACCCCTCAACTTATAACATAACACTTTGAACCCTTTATCTTATCAAGTTGATAAGTTTTAACCCCTCACTTTACAAATTTAGTAAGTTTTAACCTCTCACTTTACAAAACTAATAAGTTTTAACCTCTCATCTTATATTATAACATTTTTACCCCTCACATATACAAATTGAAGAAAATAACCTTAACTTAACATCAAGTTATAACGTTCTATTAATTTTATTAATTGACTATTAATATCCGTTAACACTCCATTATAGAAAACATTAAATTTAAATTCAATTTTATTTGTTAATTCCATTAATGAAATGCCAACGGATGCTAACAGTCAATTAACAAAACTAAAAATTAGTTAACAGAATTTACAGTCAATTAGCAAAATTTACAATCAACTAATAAAACTAACTAAACGTTATAACATGATGTTAAGTGAGGGTTATTTTTTTCAATTCAAACAGATAAGGGACTAGAAGTGTCATAGTATAAGGTGAGAGGCTAAAACCTATTAAATTTGTAAGATGAGGAGTTAAAACTTACCAACTCGGTAAGATAAAAGGCTAAAAGTGTTATATTATAAAGTTAAGAGCTAAAACCTACCAATTTTGTAAGATGAGGGCTAAAAGTTGGTTCTAGTCCCAAAATAGTGGTAACAAACAAGATGACAGACATTTTGATTTTTGAGGGCGAATTGCTCCATGTAATTTGGATGAATGTCAAACATTTAAAATCAATTTCGCAACAGGAAATCGACGGCAATGGATGTGCTCAAACAAGCCAAGGAATGATGAGATGAGCAACCGGATCAATGAAACTCGGTTCCTTTCTTATTTCTTTTCTTTGATGAAATACAAGGGATTACCCTCAAAATCAAAATTGCATCCTGGCTGAGCACAAGAGAGGAAAAAAAATTAAAAAATGAAATATAAAGAAAAAATGAAAAAAACTTACATGGGGATCCACATTGATGGATCCCAACCCTTTTAGGTTGCCTTCATCCAACCTCACGAATAAGCATATAATCAAAATTGTCCATGTCCCATGCCAATTTGAGTGGGCATCCTTATTGCACACTCACTTTTGCTCTGGATCTGGTCCTCATGCAAACAAGTAATTTGTTAGTCATTTGGCTCAAAATTCAATTCCTATGGCATATTCTGCTACTCTGCTGCTGTCTCTAGTTTCATCAATCAAGAGCAATAATAAGTTTTTTTTTGGCCCAAGAGCAATATTAAGTTGGAAATGGTCAAAGCACTTGGGAAAAGAAAAGTTGAGGGAAAGGGGAAAATGAGGGATTGAGGGATCTTAAGACAGCATCTAGAAAAACCAGCTAGGGGCAGCATACATACTTGCATATCTCCTTACTGAACCATTGCCATTAATGGCAAAATTTACTGGATTCCTTTCCGGACCCAAAGAGAGAATCTCGTGCATCCTCTCAGGCCAGTCTGAATTCAATCTACGGGCAAAATCTTCAACTTCCCTGATAAAAAAATATTATGAAAGATTCACATGTTACATAAATTTCTTTCTGAAGAGAATGCAAAACCTAGATGGAGATATGAAACTCTTGAGGTCCTAATAATCCCAACAGAGTCTAAATTCACTTTGTATTTCATCATTTAGGACACTTTTTTGCAATAATAGATGATTGATTGACCGTAAACTAGGAAAAGTTGGATAATGGATGAAGAAGAAAACTAGCACTAGGGCTTTGTTGGTTTGAAAGTTTCTGATACATTATCAAATCTCCAACTGATCATAGTTTGAAAAAGTTACATAATAACCTCACACACAAATGAAATGCAAACAAAACTACAAAACAGAATTGCTTTAGACACATGATCTTTCAACGAAAACATTAAGCCAAGAGAATCAGATTACCTATCTATTTCTTCCTTTAATGCTGGGTCAATCTCATCATCAATATCACCATCATCGAACTCATTCTTATTTGAAAAAATGTCATTTTCAACATCTTGTAAATTTGAGGTATCACCATGAGAGGGCTGAAGTTTCTTACCAAGCTCAGTATTATGGCTTTGAGAACTGATACCCTTTGGCTCCTGAAAAATGGGAAAATTCAGTAACTTGGCAGTAAAAGGAGGAAGCAAAAAGGAAAATGGAGAGGCCCAGACCTTATGATTTTTAGTGCTTTCATTTGAAAAACTGTTCTTCTGCTGCTCCTTTTTTCTTCTGTTTTTCTTCTTACTCTTTGAAGTTTTGATTCCTTTAGAATCTGTGAAACATAATTACTTACCTCCAATGAGTGCTTCAAAACGAAGTAGAGTGGGAGGAAGAAATGCTAAGAGGGAAACTTTAGTTAAACGCAAGTTATGCAACCATCAATTATATTCATTTAAGCATCAAAGAATATGAGAACATTAAATTGGACTGCCTAATTAGGATTTAGGATACCTACATTTTGTCCATTACTTAATTTATGCATCTCATATCCATGTATTCTTAAAACTTGGCCTTTTAGAAATCTTGAAAATAAATGAATTTTGGGGAAAAAAAAAAGTTGTACATTACAATTTAAATAGCTATTCTGCCATTTAAACTAAACTGATCAACTTAATCCCAGGCTAGATTATGACAATCAAATAAACAAACAGGGTAGACTAGAGCCAAATCTAAACATACCTCCATCTCCTCCATTAATAAAAGACAACAGATCATCAACTGAACGGTCATCCACACGTTCTTCCTCCACCTCAATGTTCTGAAAATTATGGAAGTTGACACATCTAAGCATTCACATTATGTTACGGAAGACATTGATGCCATTATGAAATTGATTCATGGCCAAAAATTCATGCCAAAAGCACAATGCAGAGCAAATGTAAAACAGCAAAATTTCAAAATAACATGAATACATGCAAAGAAAAGAAGAAGGAGAAGTCACCTTTTGTTTTTCCCTCTCCTTTAGTTCCTTTCTCTTTTTTGCATATAAACGGTTCAAAAGACGAATTCGAGGGTCATCAGTTGTGTTTTTCAAAGGCTCTAACTTCTCTTCCTGAACTAATAAAATACATGTTAACAAACAAATAAACAAATGACGAGATTTAAAAAATGACACACTAAGTGAAGTTCCACTAGCAACAGCCACCTCAGTAAGATCATCAGGCAAATGAAATATCTCACGTATCTCCTCAGGCGTTTTCCCTTCAATAATTCGTGCCAGTGCACGACTAGTGAGATCAACTAAAGGCTTCAACTGAAGGCTGTCAGCAGCTGATGTCAACTCACAGAGCCTTTTTGTGTCCATTCGAATAAACTTTTCATCAAATGACTTGCGCTCCTAAGCCCAAAATAAAAAT